GCAACATGGTGCCTCAAGATATTCCCAGCCCCCTCTACAAGGATTTAACTCTCCTAACCATCCCTTAAGTTCTGTTGAACAATATAAACTCAAATACATAAAATAAGCTATATGATGCTATGACCTCAGGAAAATCTTACAGATAAGCTTGGGAAACTTGGTTTACCTTCATGAACATGCTGAATCCAGTTTTAAGGAGATCAGTGAGGCCTGATGACATATGCTCAATATCAACAGGATCAGGTCGATCAGGATTACAGATCTCTTCCACTATCTGTTTCAGCAGCGGTTTGTAAGAAGCCTGCAAAAAATGAACAACGCACTGTCAATAAAGCTGTTTAGACTTGGTGCAACTAAACATTTTATTTGCATTAAAGGTAACAAAAATAATTATCCTAGAAAGGAAACCATTCAGAGAGTTAAAAAATTATCGAAGCGGCAGTGGTCTTTGTGACCTTGACCGCAAATGGTGTGCACCTGCACAGCATCACACTGAGAAGACAGGAAGGTGGCCACTCATTTACTCTGCCCCATGTGTATTATATGAGTAAAGGGAGGCAAGGAAGAAAGGGGACTTCTAATTCCTCTGGAATATTTTTGTAGGAAGTACAGAAACGGATAGCAATAGGGATGACACTCTGTTGCCCATCGTGCACCCAGAAGATCTCATTCCCTTTGTAATGATTTTATAAATGCTTCAATCAGGATTTTTAGGAGGGGTTGCTTATGGACCACTCCTGCCTTCCCCCAGGCATCATGTCAACATGGAAGCCGGGTTAGCAGCAGGACTGGGAGAGGCCAATCTGCCTGTTTGTCCCTCATGGGAAAGCAAAGATAAGGAGTCCCTGTTAGTCCTTCAGCTTCTATAGCCAGGGCACTCTACGTAATACCTGTGGGAAACCTTGAGAATAATAGTCCAAACAACCCCACGGATATCACGTATGTCAGACCTTGAGAAGTCAGGGAACAGGAAAAGTGGAAGATGCAAAGCTACGAACGGTCAGCGTTGTGGAAGATCCACTTCCAAAGGATCCATCCTGCATCCTCTTCAGGGTCCACAAACCACTGCTGAATATGAATTAGTAGCCTAGAAGTTTCCACATTTCTTTACCAAGGTTTGACCCACTCTGCCATCCTGAAAAAGTTTCTAAGATAAAAATTTTACGGACTTGTGGAAAGATGCTCTTTAATGAAAATTCAACCTTACTCGGTTTACAGATAAGAGTTTTGTTTTGCTGCTTTCAACTTTGCCCCAACTGCAACGGAACCACAATCGTTTCAGGAAGCGCAACAGTCTTAGAAAATCAGCAGCTTTCAAATTCGCACATTTGGTTTCCTTTGGGACTAGCCCAGGTATACATCATCCCCTAGATTTCTTAAGGGAATCGAGTATAACATCATTCATTTTGTAAAGATGATATCTACAAGAGACATCATGCAAAATAAACACAAAAATGGATGGAAAATAAAAAGCAAGCTGCTTGGCTTGAAACTAGAATTTTCTGGAGTAATTAAAGAAATGTTTTTCATCCAACACTTTACAGTGAGAAACAAAACTTACAGTTTTTGAATACAATCCTGTCAACGAAGATTTATACAACTCATCTAATTCTTCTCACAACATGTGCATAATTTTTAATTGAGCCAACAAAGCACGTTACAGCAGACATGAGCTGCAGGATCTTTCAGGAGAACATGCCAAGATTTGTGTCAAATCTAGTCATGCAATAAACAACTGTTTGAAAATACACATGCAGGCATGAAGTCCTGCGTATAAAAATCTGTTTAATATCTTCATAGATGAGGAACAGAATGACATTAAGAATGAAATATTTTTGGAGTAGAGATCAAATCACAGTTAAACAGACATCCTTACTGCATGAAATGGAAGGAAAAATATTGTCTGACTTCAGACAAAACTATGTACTCAAAAGATGTTAAAAACGTGCTATGCTTTTATATGTCTGAATTTTCAGCACCAGAATTCAGTGCCCTTCAAAATGATCCAGTTCAGCTACACAGAGACTAAAAGGCAGATACTAGAATCACCTTTTTTTTAGTTATGAGAGTTTCAAATATTTTCAAAATCTTTTATGACTTGAAATTAATCTATTAAATTTTTAAAGATTTTTTTACCTTTTTTTTTTTTTAATACAACCCCCAATAGCTGCATTGATTTCTAACTCATGTAATTAAATTTTTATCAACTTTAAATTTTGGCAGGGTGCAAATTGTGTTTAAAATAGTTGTTAGAAACTTCAGTGGCTATGGGACATATCTCAGACAAGATTATAAGGAGAAAAGGAGAGAGAAAAAGAGAGAGAAAGAATGAGAAAAGGAGATGGAGAGATGGAAGGAGGGAGGGAGGGAGGGAGAGAGGAAGGGAGCAAGGGAAGGAGGGAGGAATACACTTCAGATCAAGATGAAAGGAAAAGAACAGTAGTTACGGTATCAGGCAAAATAAACACTCTTCTCTTGCATTGTCGCTACATGAACTGGTCTGATAACCTGATGAAAACATTCATCATTTTATGTAAGACATACGAACTTCATTGCTACAAAGAGTCCTTCTAAGAGGCTATTCGATTCTCACTATATCTATACTATACTTATCTATAGAGACCTTTTTAGAGTCTTAGCAAGAAATGGAGGCTTCCCAGCTTACCAGGCAAAGTGGAAAAGCACCTATAGGCTAAATCCATTTCCATAGCACTAAGCTGGGCAGGGGATGTGTATGGCCATGGGAAGGGCAGTACTTCTTTAGAGGAACTACACTGATTGCACGCAACCCATGTACTAACACCTGCCAGTCAAAAGAGAGGTCCATTTGTAGAGAGCTGTGTGTATGATGGAAAAAAACCTACTGCCTGCTTATTTCTGCTACTCTAAACCTCCTGAGCTGCCCTCAGCAGAAGGTTGGTTCTATTCAAGCAATTAAATCCAATGTATAGCCAGGTTAGGGGGCTGCAAGGTGTTAATACATCCCTTGTGTGTTCCAGCACTTAGCCCTAAGCAAACAACCTGGGTTACATCCAAAGAACATATTGATGCTAATTACACTTCCAGGAAACTTTTAGAGGGTATTTTCTTATCATCTGACTGCCCTCCCTGCTGAACTGTATTAAATGCTTAACAATTTTCCCTATTTCAGACACTGGACTGGTCCTAAGTGCCAGGAGACTTCAGTAACAAGTTTTCTGCACCTTAGCTTTCCAGCGACAACTTGCAACACTCCCAATTCCTGCTCTTACAAAGCATTCCTTAATTTGAACTACATCCCTTTGCTTGTCCACAGCATACTTACGAGTTTGGAAGGATTTTTTTCTGGCTTAAGGCTGGAATCAAGTTTTACAGTCTCTCTCTAAATCACTGTATGTGCTTTCCATTGTAAAACTATTTTTAACTGAAAAAGTTAAAACACCTCAGGGGAGACGAGGAGAGAGAAAACCTCTGTATATTAGTCCTGATGACCTACAGTAATATCATAGTTCATGTGTTCATATTTTAGAAACAAAAGCTGCATTTTCACCTGTTTACAAACAGGAGTAATGCACCTCTTGCATTTATAGAGACAGGAGAGAAAATACACAGGAATATAGCTGCTGTATCAGGCATCCAGCTTTGCTATGTCTTGTTCCAGAACTGTCTTGACCTAGTCCTGCCTTTCACAGGTATTTATGTCATATCACAGCGCTGCAGAGCAAATCCTAAAATGCCTCCTCAGACAATTCTTTGTTGACACTGACACAGATATGCCAGAGTTTGGACAAAGGGTTTGAGGAAGCTCTTGATGATCAGGTCAATTATAAAATCTACACTTAAATATCTTCCACATGGGCAGAACACATATTGGATTAGCACATCAGCAAAATTAGCGCTGTAATTTTGACAGCATGCTAGAGAAATAACATACACAGGGAAAAGAAAGATCCACTTGCCTGGTGGGTGTTGCTGCCTGGATTATATATGGAATTAAACTGTTTCATGTGCATTCGAGCTCTTGCAATATCCCTGAGGGACCGAAAGATATCGTCCACTGCATCTGTGGCTTTCTGAGATGTCAGGTTCAGTGACGAGTTACAGCCTAAAGAAATAAAGAAACACGGAGCTGACTGAGTGAAAAACTTCCAAGTGTTTTGATAATAAGCAGTAGGAAAAGAATAACTGGGAGGAAATTTTAAATTAGTTTCATCATGTCATATTGTAGAAACTCAGGAGCTTGTTAGACAGCACATCCTCAGCATGGCACAAGTCTCTATAGCTAAGCAAGAAGGCAAAAATCGTAGACAGCAAGCAAAGTGCAGAGGCACCTCTGTAACACATCTGTAACCTAAACCATACAGCAATTGCATCAGCTTAGGGTATGTTTTGCTCTCCACAGCACACAGAAGATCCCATGCTAGCAGGCCCTGAGGAATGGCCCTGAAGAAGAGTCCCACATGGAAAGAAGACAGCTGGTTTGCTGGTCTTCTTCGGGCAAAACAGCCATGAAGAGGGGAACTGCTTCTCAGACATTGTACCCAAGCCCCGGCTGGTAGCCTGCTCACTCCAAATGCATTTCCTTCCTTTGCAACAAGAAAAATGGGAAGAGTTTGTGCTAAATACAGCAGAAATGATAGCTACGCACTGGAAAGAACTGTATGACCATAAAAAAGTCTTTATCCCTCAAAGTGGCACAATTATTATTTTTAATGTATTTTTCCAAAGCACTTCTGCTAAGATACAATGCTTATCTTCCACTGAGGCCAAACTCCATTTGAAGGACCATGTAAAAGGTCCCTCCAGGCAGCCAGGCAGCGTCTTGGCAAAACGAAATTCTGAGCCTTGGCTCCATCCCCTCACCACAGGACCTATATCGCACAGAAGAGTTGAAAAAATGCTTTCTCAGCTGACCTGCTGATTAGAATTAGCCAAGTGAGAGATAACTGAATCACCTGGTGTTTGTATTGCCCTGTCAACACAGCTCTGCACCTTCTGACATTTCTGCCTGCCTCTCTTCTCATTTGACTCCTCATCCCTGCAGCGGAAAATCCAGCACAAATTAAGCCTTTTTGCCACATGCACACACAAACACACACT